GTTTACTGTATAATATTCTAATATAAAATCTTAGTCTCTAAGTTTTATAGATATTAAGAATTATAGATCAATAGTCATCTATGCTTGTCATACTTTAGTTAGACTAGTCAGGTTCTTGAAATACATAGAGATTATTCTGCATAGATAGGTAGTCTTCAACCACTTCAAAGAGCTGTAGAATATGGCATTTAAGTAACTTAGGGTTCTTTTGGCATGAGACATGATTGCTCCTGGTAGCACCAATCTATTCCCAACAGAATATTGAGCACTGAAGACACTCCACTTGGAGCTTGTTTTTCTTTTTGGCAAAACTGGCCTTTGAGCAAGGAACTGCTCATGCATCGACCACTGACAAAATGCACGAGTCCAGACAGGACAAGCAGGATACAAGAAAAAAGACTGTCAAATCTTGCCAACACAGGGTAAGACAGTTTTAAAAAATTTCCTGCCTCTGAAAATGGTCTGTCAGTTACTCTAGGCCTTAGCCAAATTTGGTTGCTCCAGCATTGCAAATGAGACTTTGGGTGATTGTCTGGGTAGCCAGTTGTCTCTGTCATTTGTTGCACATTTTGGAAGTTGCTTGGTTGCACTTTCTGCTTACTCAAGTAATATTATTTCCCTTCTTGGGTCTTCAACGGGGTTGAAGACTAGATAGTTGTAGTTATTTTCTTCTCATGACTTCGCCATGTTATTTATTATACAAGACTTAAACTCATTAAAATAAGATAATTATTGAAACATTTATTACATGTTTCTTGCTTGATAATGTTTATACTGGTTATAAATCTAATTTTTATACCTGATATTTGTTCTTATTGTATATAACTTTATTAGGCTTAGAATTTTCTTGTTTAAACAAAAGGTGGAGTTGCTGTGGGAATTCCTACCACCAGAAGTCCTTAAGTTACCGCCCACTTGGACGTGGCCTCTTACACTATATATGCTGATGTAAAGCACACATCCGACCTCTTTCCAGGCTGCTGGATTCAGCTGCTGTTTCCCCATTCGAGCAGAGGATTGTGATCTGTGAGTCTACTCCTAAGTAAATAACCTTTTATTATACTCATTTCTGAGCTAGTGTGGGATTTCTTTTTTAGCGTCCTTTTTCACTTATTTGCTGTCCAATGTAGAGTGATTAGCTTTGAAATCATATACATAATAAGAAGAAAAATGTAGTTAACAGGTTGTATTTATACATAATCTTGTGCCCACCACACATATACACTCATACACAAACACACACTAACATACACATATACCCACACTTAAACATGCACACAAACATATACACACAAGGATAATAAAGAAGTTATTATTTTAAGAGTGAGGCAGACATGAAAGGCATTCTAGGGAGAACGACTGGAGAAGGGGTCTGGAGGGAAGTAAGGGATATGGGGAGTGCTGTAATTTTATGAAAATTAAAAACATGATTTAAAAAGTAAGTTAAAATGAAATATTATTGCATGTGGACCTTGGGAGGGAGCAGAGAAAAATGTAGAGCTCAATAAAAATCAATAAAAATGAAATATTATTAATTTCATTAAAAATCAATAAACAAGCTAAAGACCAAAAATTGTAAAAGAAAAAATAGCAATGACTGACAAAGACTTTAAAAGGGTTTAGCATCCTAAAACATATGGAAATGTAAATTTAAATTACTTTGAGATTCCATGTCACTCTAATCAGAATGGCAATTGAAAGATCAATGACAAAAAAATGTAAATTTAAATTACTTTGAGATTCCATGTCACTCTAATCAGAATGGCAATTGAAAGATCAATGACAAAAAAAATGCTAGTGTGGACAGGAGTTGCTAATTAACTCAATTAAAAAATGGGGCACTGAACTGAACAGAGAATTCTCAAAAGAAGAAGTTCAAATGGCCAAAAGACACTTAAGGTCATGCTAAACCTCATTAGTGATCAGGGAAATGCAAATCAAAACAACTTTGAGATATCATCTTACACCTATCAGAATGGCTAAAATCAAAAACACTGATGATAGCCTTTGCTGGAGAGGCTGGAGAGGAAGGGGTACCCTCATCCATTGCTGGTGGGAATGCAATCTTGTACAACCACTTTGGAAATCAGTGTTTCAGTTTCTCAGGAAATTCGGGATCAACCTACCC